GGCAAAAGGAGTACAAAAGTATGAAACAAGTTGACCCACAGGGCGCAGACGCCCATGACACCATCGTCGTTGAGGCCCGCAATGTCCTTGGCCATCCCGTGCTCCGTAGCGAGTACGACCGCACAGTCTCTGCCTTCTGGAGTAGCAACATCAGCTGCAGTAAGGATTTGACACGGGGTACGGCCACCCTGTCATCGGCGAATTCCTCTCGCTCAATCAACATGGAAGCCACCACCAATACCATGCGTATAGCTAACGGTCCCTCCAGCGCGGATATGATGTCACTTACACAATCGGGACTGCCTGAGGACAGCATCTGGTGAGGGCTGCGAGAGCAATAAGGGAAGGAAAGAAATATTCTCAAAACACAAACACAGAAAAACAAAAAAAAGAAAGGGTGTGTGTGTGTGTGTGTGTGTGGGAAAAACGTTTAGAATGAATTAAAGTAAAGGAAATGTTTAGGCGCAGCTTGTGCGTGTTTTCGTCATGACCTTTTCATGTGCTTAGTTTTTTTCTGACTTGCCTGTGGATTTAGGTGGGTGGGATGCTGGCACGGAGTTGTGGCGTACGGTGCACCATTTGGCGGTTCTTTGAAGGAGACGATGAGCCTTATTTTTATTTATTATTGTTATTGTTATTATTATTCTCCAAATAATGGCGGTGTTTGCATCCCGCATCCTTTTGCCTGAATTTACCTGCACAGTGGTCCCCACCCTTCAGCGCAGCAATATACATGCCACGCAGAGGCAAAAAAAAAAAAAAAAAAAAAAAAGGGAACAGTGAAATGTAGGGAATGGCGACGTTGACGAAGATGTCTTTTAGATCTGTTTTGTATACATACACACACACACAAAAAAAAAAATAATTTATTTTATCTACATGTATTAGATGTTACTCACGCTTTTACCCTTACTAAACACCCCTTGAAAGTAGTCAAGAGGGAAAGCAAAACATACACACGAACAAAGAAAAAAAAGAATAAATAAAAAAATAAGCGCTGGGGAATTCCTGTGGTTTTTTGTTGTTTGTTTGTTCGGGCGTCATTGCTCTGCACATATGCACGAATTGTGTGTAAGTGTGAGAAAGAGAGGAGAGTGAAGTGAGACAAAATTGCCTTGTATTCATGTTTAATGGAACTTTGCCTGCAATATTCTTTCTACACTTTGCAACTGCTTTATTCTTATTGTTATTAGCATTATTGCTATTATTATTATTATTATTTTTGTGTGTGTTAGCCTTTTTCTTTGCATATTTTGCACGCAGCACAATGGCCAAGAAGAACAAGACGAAGGTGGACACGATCAACACCAAGATCCAGCTTGTGATGAAGTCCGGCAAGTATGTGCTTGGAACGAAGCAGACTCTTAAGACCCTGCGCCAGGGCCGCAGCAAGCTTGTCGTGATCTCCAGCAACTGCCCTCCCATCCGCAAGGCAGAGATTGAGTATTACTGCACGCTGAGCAAGACCCCCATGCACCACTACGCTGGAAACAACCTTGACCTCGGAACAGCGTGCGGCCGGCACTTCCGTAGCTGCGTTTTGTCCATCACAGACGTTGGCGACTCTGACATCACCTCCGCGTGAGTGGATGGAAGAAATTCGCGGCATCAAATGAAAGAGGAGGCTCTCTTATTACTGCTTTTCTTTTTTTTTTTCTTTTCTATTGGCTGAGATTTTCAATCTGACGGCCTTTGCATGTTTTTCTCTCTGCCACCGGTACAACTTCTCTTGTCTTTAACTTTACTTTGATCCTTTTTGGTCATCTGTCTCTTCTTCCTTTCTTTTTTTTTTCCCCTCACACTGTATGACTTTATTTTGACACCCCACATGCAGGATCCATCCACGCAGCACAATGGCCAAGAAGAACAAGACGAAGGTGGACACGATCAACACCAAGATCCAGCTTGTGATGAAGTCCGGCAAGTATGTGCTTGGAACGAAGCAGACTCTTAAGACCCTGCGCCAGGGCCGCAGCAAGCTTGTCGTGATCTCCAGCAACTGCCCTCCCATCCGCAAGGCAGAGATTGAGTATTACTGCACGCTGAGCAAGACCCCCATGCACCACTACGCTGGAAACAACCTTGACCTCGGAACAGCGTGCGGCCGGCACTTCCGTAGCTGCGTTTTTTCCATCACAGACGTTGGTGACTCTGACATCACCTCCGCGTGAGTGGATGGAAGAAAAAAATATTTTTTTTTTTTTCTTTGGTAAGCAGGGATCTCAAACGTTGCATTTATTTATTTCGTTCATGTTTTTCATCATTTTTCCAATACTTTTTTTCTGTGTGGGTGAGTGGGGGGTTGGCTATTACAGAGTCTTGTTGTGTGCGGATTTTTTCATATGTGTATTTATGTACGTAAGTTGAGTTCACATCTTGTGGCTTCTTTTTTTTTTTTTTTTTTGTGTGTGTGGGGGGGGTGAGTGGTCTGACTTTCGTTTGCGCGGGGATCTAAGCACGACAGTTCTCTAACAGCGATGCAGGGGTCTTCTCTCAGTCGCCGCGTTCGCGTAGGAGGAGTCGAGCCGGAGGACGCTGTGTTGCGGGCGGAGCTGTTTCGTACGTTTGCAAGCTACGGTGTCATTGAAGAGGCGTGCTTTGAGGAGGATCGTGCCTTTCACAGCGGCGCAGCCATTATTCAGTTCCAGCGAATTTCCGCCTCGGAAAAGTTGCAAAACGACGTTGAGGAAACAGGGCGGCGGTGGTTTCTTAGCTTTCTCCCACCTATTGTTCATGTCGGGGCGGAATTGCTTGTGACGTCTCCGAAGGCCATTGACACGTCGTACTTGCGCTCACTCGTCGGGGAGGGTGTGAAAATCGAGGAGAAGTTATTATCTTTTCCAGGAGCCAAACGCATTGGATCGACAACTGCTGATGAGGGAGCAGTGGATTATGGAAGCAAAAATGCTGGGGCCAGAGATGTCTTTATTAAGGCATTGTCGTCTGTCCGAGCCCACGCCATTGGTCGGTTTGCTGTGTTGATGCAATTTGCCACCGTCCATGACGCGAACGAGTTTCTCACCACTCATCAGATGCCTTTTTTGACATCCAATGAAATGTATGTGGTGCATGTGGGGCCCGACGCGGCGCTTCAGCATGCCTTGAAGCACATTCTACTAACACGGCGATCGACGAAGGATGTGGCGAGGGGAAGCGTGTTGCGTGGGTTCGTCCTTCCACAGCACCAGAGCGGCAATATCGGTGGTAGTGGTGGTGGTGGTGGTGGTGGTGGTGGCAATCGTATGATCAAATGCGAGGTAGACGCCGGACTGATACGGAAAGGCCGACCGGTTTTTCTGCAGACACAAACCAACTTTGTCAAGGTGTCTCCCTGGGACATTGTTGAGGTGCGACTGACATCCGCTGATGGTGAGGCAAGCGAGAACCTTGAGGCGGAGTTGCGCGGTGTTGTAAACGCAGCAGCTGACACTGCTGAGGCACAAAAGCCTACAGTCCTTTTTCAGCGATTACGACAAGCGGGTGTCTCCTCTTCTTCCTCTTCGTCGATTTCTACCGCTGCGAGTTCCAAGAAGGCTCTCGCCGGGAAACTCTATCAGGCGTTGCACGCACGGAAGACAGAGCCAGACAATGCGGGAGAGCAGCTGCACAGCTTTCCACAAGGACTTCATGCCTTTTCCGTGGTGTCTGTCTGCATCCAACGAGTAGGGGACGACGGATTGTACGCGCGGACGATATTGCCGCCACACGCGACGTCGAATACGCCGTCTCGCGAATGGCCGGTATTTGTACCCTCCATTTTTGTTCCCTGTGAAGGTGGCATGGGCTGGAAGGACTTTGCCGTTCCCGGGGAACGTATGACAGTGACACTCCTGTACGCCACAGCAGTCGGCGGTAGTGAAGCGGCCTTGCGACTTGTTGCTTCAAAACGTGAGGCAGATATGCGGCGTGCGTCTGCCTTTTTTGTGTCAGCTGCGACCCCTGGTGCGAAGGATGGGGCAGGAGGCGGTTTTAACGACACGAAGACCCTATCCGTGGGCACTTCATTTAGCGGAATTCGTGCCGTTTGGCTTCCTCGCACGCCCAGCACGGAGAATCCGGTGTACATTCTTCTGCCGTCATCGTCATCACCTTCGGTGTTGTTCACGATCACCGTCCTCATGCACGCCACCGAGAGTCCTACGGATCACCAGACGCCCGAGACAATGACGATGGATGCGGGATTACACCCCTTTGTCATTGCTAGCATTGTGAACAGCGATCGTCTTGGTCACTATGCGGTGGCGGTGGAGGAAGCGGTGTATCGTCAGATGGAGGCTGAGCGGCGTGCCGCAGAGATCCAGAAGGAATCCGAGCAGGATGCGATGCTGCAACGCATAATGACGGAGGTGTTTTCGAACGGCGCATCCGTCCCAGCAGGAGACGGGGACAACTCCGCGCAGGGCCGCAAGCGTCCGCGTTATTCCCAGGAGGAGTAATGCCTTTAAAAGTTCTAAAGGCGCAGGAACTCACTCCCAGCTGGCAAATAATAAAAAAAAGGAAAGAAGAAACAAACACATACCTTAAGACTTTCACCAATTTTTTTATATGAGATGCGGTTTGTGCTCCACGAATTATTTTTTCTTTTTTTTTGTATATGTGGCCGCCATAATTCTTTTTTATTTCTGAAGGATCCTAAACACAGGGGTCATTCTAATTTCTTCACCAACAACAATTGACCCGTAAAGTCCTCTGCTCTTCACGTGTGGTTTTCTGTAAAATAAATAAATAAATAAATAGGTACATATACAGTTGCCTGCAAAGGAATGATGGAGGCGACTCTAGAAACACTGTTGCTTTCGGGGGCAGTTTCGTGCCGGTTTATTTGGCGTAAGCGACAAAAAGTCATGCGGACAATTGAGATTCACACGGATGGCGTGCTTTACTGCTTTGATGAACCCAAAGATTCCATGGCGAAAAATCTAAGGGAGCGGTTATACCTTTTTGGTTCGCGTGTGGTGGACTGTGGCACGCACCGTGGCCGCCTTTGTTTTGGTTTGGAGCTTGCGGACGCTTCGAGTGTGGAACAACTGCGTCCTTCTGGCCTTTTTACCTCGTTACGGACATCCGCCCCGGTAAGTCCATTGAAGAATGAGGGATCTTTGAGCAAGATATTTGTAGCTTTTTTCTTTGTTGGCAATAAACTACTTAAGTGGAGGTTTATTCATCTCCTGCGCCTTGCGTCGTCAGCTTCGCCACCATTTTTGGCACTGCAACAGCAAGAGCCGAACTTGGCGCTTTCCGCAAGCTGCGGATCTCATGAAAACGACGACAGCAGGGGCATATATCGAATACTAGAGCGTCCGCCGAGAATTATTGACGTGACGGGCGACGGCCCGCTGGAGATGCATGAGGTGGAACAGCTGGAGGACGTCCTGCGTCTGTATGAGGAAAATAAGCGGTTAAAACAAGAAGAGGAAGAGAATAATGACGAAGAGGAGAGTCTCCGTGAATCCGTAGTGACTTGTGACGATGATAAGATGGAGGTGCCCGAGCGCCTCATGCAATCGCCCCTCTACGCGCCCTGTATTGCGGATAGGCCGTCGAACCAGATATGTGCCGATTGTGGTGAAAAGTGGCCCACATGGGCCGTACTGGGGCCATTTGGTTGCTTTGTTTGTATTCATTGTGTCGGCGTACACCGACAACTTAGGCCGCATTGCTGTCGCGAAGTGCAATTGGACAATTGGGACGCAGCAGAGATTGATTTTATGGCCAAACGTGGTAACGACATTGTGAATGACGAACTTGAGTATGCTGGATTTTTTTTAGGCAGCGGAGTTGCTGTATACAAGCCGGTGGGTAGTTCCTCCCGGCGTGAGGTGCGGGAAGAGTACATCACGTTGAAGTATGAAGGAGCCTTTACGAGGGAACGTAATCCACATGTTCTACAGGCCATGCTACCGCCACCCGATCGAGACGTGCAGGGTCATTTGGACATATCAAAGCACGGGGCCCTGAATCATGATGGCCCGCCGCAGTATATCGGTGTGGCGTATATAAATGTTCGTGAGGTGGAGGGTATCCGCAGCAGCGGTGCCGTGTTATCGCTTACGAACGGGTTCCAAGAGGTGCGTAGTCGTGCCGGTGTGGTTCCTAGCGGTCCTGCTAAGAACAACCCTTGCCATGCATGTACGTGTTGGGAGGAATCCTTTCAGCTGGGTGTGTACAGTGTCACTGCCCCGCTCTTCATGGCGCTGTACACTAGCGGCGATGAGTTACTTGGAGCCGCGGAGTGGCGACTTCCCGATGGTGTTGCCCTTCCCGGTTCTGAGCCCCAACTTGTGAAGGTGCCGTTGTTTTGGTGTTTGCCTGCGGAGGGATCTACGTGGCCAACCTTCAATCCCTTTGGCGGGGGACGTCGTCACCGGAAGCGGGGCGCTGAAAAGTGGCACCAACCGCTGTTGTACATCACCGTCTCGTTTGCTCATTTCGGATAATTCCCTCCCCCCGCCCGACTGGCCTCTCACAGTCACGCTTTTCTGCGCGAGGTGTGGGTGTAGATGGTGGGGTGTGCTAACGGGTGATCTAGTGTACATGTCTCGGATGGGTTTGAAGGAATTTTGCATTTGGGCTTAATGAGAAGGAGGGAACAAACAGCGGAGAAAAAAGGAAATAAAAACGATAAAAGCAACGACAACTGTCTCGGGGTACTGTGAAACTGAAACTGAAACGTTTGGTGGTGAAATGAAACATGCCCATGATGAGGAGTTTCTTTTTTTTTTTTTTGGTATATTCCTCTAATTCATTGCCCCTTATTTTATATAGATTTTATATTATATATATATATATATATATATATATATATATATATATATATATATATATATATATATATATTTTCTGTAGAAGAACGGTTTCTCATTTTGCGACACAAAAAAGAAGAAAAGAAAAGGAAAGGAAAGCAAGATTTTTTCTGCCACTATTAATACGCGATAACAAGGAAAGGATAAGAAAGTGAAACTACATACATACACAAATTCATATGTTCTTGACGCCAAAGGTACTACCACTTTGGGTGCTCATCGTCACCACACTGACGTTCTACACACTTCGTGCGAATGACCCAGTCAATCTGACACAATATCAAGATAAGTTGTACGGTGTGCCGCTTTCGACGGTGTGTCTTTTGCCGCTTCTGCCGATTTGTGTGTGGGGGTGCTACGAGGTCATCCGCACGGTGGGACCGAAAGGCTCAAGTGTGGCCATTGAGGTCTACGACTGAGATCGGTCACGATGGCGCCGCTTATCCAACGACGGGGTTGGCACAAGTGAAATCAGGGCGACAGAAAAAAAAAAAACGATGGGGTCACGTGGGTCTGTGCATTGCACTTGGTTGTGTGCGTACGAAACAAAACGACGGTTTCCCTTCTTGCAACAAGATAACGGTCTATTTCCTTTTCCAACGGAATATATATATATATATATCCTTTTTTTCCCTTCACTCCCTATATATTCTTAGAGTATAGCTTGACCACATAGTCGGTGGAAGAAATTTGTGGAACCGCCTTCGGCGGCACGGAGGGAAAACAAAGGAAAAAGAGATAGAAAGCACCGGAGGTAAAGTGCGCAAGGCAGCAACAGCAGCAGGGTTTTTGGTTTCTTTTTCTGTGAGTGATCTTATAGGCACTTGTAACACCGTGCAAAATGCGTCGTGTCTGGCGCACTATGATTGCAGCAACCAGCTGGCACGCCAGGGGTCGAATGCGAATTATATATGAGTCCCATCTACAACTTCAGAGGGCACGGTCGGCGTCATCTGCGCCACCAAAGGCTGCACCTGCTGCACCGGAACCACCAAGGACTGCACCTGCTGCACCGGAACCACCAAGGGCTGCACCTGCTGCACCAGAACCACCAAGGACTGCACCTGCTGCACCAGAACCACCAAAGGCTGCACCTGCTGCACCGGAACCACCAAGGACTGCACCTGCTGCACCGGAACCACCAAGGGCTGCACCTGCTGCACCGGAACCACCAAGGGCTGCACCTGCTGCACCGGAACCACCAAGGACCGCACCTGCTGCACCGGAACCACCAAGGACCGCACCTGCTGCACCAGAACCACCAAGGGCTGCACCTGCTGCACCAGAACCACCAAGGACTGCACCTGCTGCACCGGAACCACCAAGGACTGCACCTGCTGCACCAGAACCACCAAGGACTGCACCTGCTGCACCAGAACCACCAAGGGCTGCACCTGCTGCACCGGAACCACCAAGGGCTGCACCTGCTGCACCGGAACCACCAAGGGCTGCACCTGCTGCACCGGAACCACCAAGGGCTGCACCTGCTGCACCGGAACCACCAAGGGCTGCACCTGCTGCACCGGAACCACCAAGGACTGCACCTGCTGCACCGGAACCACCAAGGGCTGCACCTGCTGCACCGGAACCACCAAGGACTGCACCTGCTGCACCGGAACCACCAAGGGCTGCACCTGCTGCACCGGAACCACCAAGGGCTGCACCTGCTGCACCGGTACCACCAAGGACTGCACCTGCTGCACCGGAACCACCAAGGGCTGCACCTGCTGCACCGGAACCACCAAGGACTGCACCTGCTGCACCGGAACCACCAAAGGCTGCACCTGCTGCACCGGAACCACCAAGGGCTGCACCTGCTGCACCAGAACCACCAAGGGCTGCACCTGCTGCACCAGAACCACCAAGGGCTGCACCTGCTGCACCGGAACCACCAAGGGCTGCACCTGCTGCACCGGAACCACCAAGGACTGCACCTGCTGCACCGGAACCACCAAGGGCTGCACCTGCTGCACCGGAACCACCAAGGACTGCACCTGCTGCACCGGAACCACCAAGGGCTGCACCTGCTGCACCGGAACCACCAAGGACTGCACCTGCTGCACCGGAACCACCAAGGACTGCACCTGCTGCACCGGAACCACCAAGGACTGCACCTGCTGCACCGGTACCACCAAGGGCTGCACCTTCTGCACCAGAACCACCAAGGACTGCACCTGCTGCACCGGAACCACCAAGGGCTGCACCTGCTGCACCAGAACCACCAAGGGCTGCACCTGCTGCACCGGAACCACCAAGGACAGCATCTTCTTCGTCGTTTGTCTCAGCGCGTAAGAATGTTCGTTTGGGTACTGAGGATAATAAAATACGTGGTTATAGGAAGCGTGGCGGAGAACGTGAGGACCGTCATCCGAGTAAGCGTGGTGAGTCCTTTCAATTCAAGGGTAAACCCACCGGCTCTGGGGCAAAAGTGGGAAGTAAACGCCTTTCTCTTAATGATATTATTGATGATTTGGGAGAAATAAAGGTGGTGTTTGCGCAGCGTGGGACCGATAAGCCTTCTCACACTGCGTCTCCTCCCTCACCACCTATTGCGCCTTCGGCACCATTACCGCCATCACCTACTCCATCACTACCGCAACAGACATTGCCCTCTTTCAGTGCACCCATTCCATCTACAGGTGGAACTGGCGAGAGTCTTTTTTCAGCTCCCGTCGGCACCTCACAGGAAGGTGAGGATGATATTTTTTTCACCATTGCACCACGGACGTCAGAGGAAGGTTTTCAGGGAAGGACGTGGCCCAAAAGCGTTGGCTTCTCAGTGGATGAAGAAATTGAAACTGCGCGTGCAACACGTCCACTTGTGCCTTCTCCTGATGTTGCACAGGAAACAAATGCGAAACTGAGGCTAAACGTTGTGAATGATGACGAACAGTCCATGGCTGATATGGAGTTTGACAAGAATAAGTTGAATCCGCTACCTCATAAGGAGGCTGCGGAGATTGGGCGGCATGAAATTCCAGACGTTGTCAGTGAACGGGCGGACTTTACACAGCCAATGCCAACGAAGGACAGTTCTAAAAATAATGAAAAAACAGAGCATTCCACGACGACAGCTTCCTTGAAACCGATGGAGGAATCATCATCATTTCCACTAAATGAAACTGCAACTCCGTCACCAAGGAATGCGGCAACAAAGATGCCAGTGGAACGACCACCGTTGGCTCCATGGATGCCAAGCGTTAGGCCGGAGGATGGAGAAGACGCGTCTTGCGCGAAAGTGTCTTTTAAGAACGATGGGTCACCGGTAACAACCATCCTGTTAGAGACCCAACCAACAAATATCATGTCGCTTGTGAAGTTTTTGCATCGGACAATTACACTCATTGAAAATCAACACATAGCTCCTGGTAAGAAGACGGAAGTACTGTTCACGACTTTCCCTACGCTAGGTTTCTTTAACGCCAAACATGGCCCGTTGGAGTTGACGTCGGGTGAGCGTGTGGAGTTGCTTCGGGCCAAGGAAAGTCTTTTTGCACGCATGGAAAATGCTTCGAAACAAATTCATTTTGTTGCAAATGTTCATGGAGGTGCTATTGAAGACTTTGGAGCGGAATTGTTTTTGGCGTGTCATCACCGTGTGTTGCTGGATCCCGCCCAGGCAACTTTTGGGTTTCCATCGATTAAAGTAGGGGATTTTCCTGCAGCAAGCACCGTGCGCCGGCTAAGCTGCTTTTTTGGTTCACAGCGCACTATTGAGATGGCACCGAGATTCCATGAATACAGTGTGGAGAGCATCATGGATGTTGGCCTTCTGGAAGGTCATTCCTCCCCGCCTGCTCCCTCGTTTCTTCTCCGTCTTGAGTGCGCCATGCTCGAGTTTCTTTCCAGAGCCACACAGAAAGAACTGCTGCTCCGCAAATTGTTTTTCACCAGTGGCTTTGATACATCTGCAGTCCTGGTGAGTCCCAACCCACTGTTGAAAGCGTGGGGACGGTATGCTATGGCCGCCATCGTGCAGGGGAAATGTGCTACTAACAATGATGGCAAAGCAGTGCGTACACAGGAAATGAGGTCTGAGAGTATCTTTAGTGAGATGTTATACACCACTCCTGCGATAAACGCAGCCAATGTGTGCAGTTTAGGATGTGAAATGAAGCGCCGTGCTCTTCCCTCGTTGCCCAGTCGGCGCTTTGTAACATTTCGTGGAGAGGAGATGCAGCAGTGGGATGAAAAAATGAAAGCATTGTCCTCCGCAAAGGATGACTGCGCGGCAGTATTACTGGACTGCTCACAGAGGTTTATTAATGCCACCGCACAGATTGTAGCTTCCCACCAAGACATTTTGGTGAATGTCAATGTGGTCCTTATTGGCGAGGAGCACGTTGCTCGTCCTATTATCTCAACGCTACCATGCAGCGTTGTTGTATCATGTGCCTCACCCTATCGTGTTTCTGCTCTTGGACGACTGCAGGAAGTTCGTGTCTTTGCTCAGGATAGCTGCTCATCAGAGGCCTCTGAGACCGCCTTGAATGCGGCGCTCACGTATTTGCAGACTCAAGACAGCCCTTATGTTGTGAGCCGTGGATCTTCTTCTAAACGGCTTATTGCGGCTTTAGCGACGGAGGCTTGTCGACTCACTCAGCACTGTGATGTGGCGTGCATTGAGCGCGTGGCTACGGATGTGCTTGGCCTATTCGTAGGACCTTTTCATCTGATTGACTACTTTGGCCCAGCAATGGTTATTCGAATGCTGGAAGAGACAAACAACATGAACACACAGGGCAATCCATTGCTGGTTGACTTGCTTCCTGCCATTGCTCACCACGCACTTAATGGCATGCTTAACGATGGATACTTGGGTGTCGATTCACGTCGTGGGGGCTTTTTCTCGTATCGTGAGGACGGCACGGCAATCGCACCGAACGCCGAGGTGTTACGCCGTTACTTTTCTCGCCCTTTGTCTGACACCGAGGTGGCGGATCGACTGCTTGCGGTAGTGGTCAATGAATGTTGCGAGATGATATTGTCCGGTTGTGTGCGGAGTGCCACGGACGCAAATGTCTTGACGATTGCCGCAATCGGTTTTCGTGAGACGACTGGCGGCGCTCTTGCATTGGCGGATAAAGCCGGCATTTCTGCACTTGTGCAGAAAATGGAGGAACTGTCAAACTGGCACGGCCCACACTTGCGTCCCTCGTCACTGCTGAAATGCATGGCACATTCCAAAGTGTCATTTGCCTCATTGTCTGATGCAATGATCCAATCCGCACGCATGTGATGTTTGTTTTGGCCCCCATCGAGTGCGGCAGGTGTTTCAATGGCGTCTTGTTTTTTTCTTCTTTTTGCATGTTTGGGGTGAGGAATAGCGCAATGTTCTTTTGTCTGTTTATTTGTTTTCCTGTGTTAGTTTTTGTGTTCAGTTGTACAATGTGTTGACGTTTGCGGCAAAATGTGTTGCAATATTATTTTACATTGTTATGTCTGTGTTCATAGTCTTTTTTTTTTTGTTGTTGTTGTGTGTTTGTGTGACGATAGAGACAGAGAGTGTTGTTTGGTAACGCGCAGGCAAGCGGAACAAAACTGGAGAAAGGTATTTGGCTTACTTTTGTTGCAAAGGATACGTATATATATATATACATACATAACCATCTACGTATCTGTATATATTTATATATTTATATTTATTTATTTATTCAACGCCCTCTCTCTCCTGCCTTGTTTTGCGGGACTCAGCAGCAGGGAAGAGGAGAGAGAGGGACAAAAAGGGGGTGGAAAAAGGAAAAGTGAGAGCAATGAATATGAATGATTTATTGTTTCAGGCCGCTACGCAGACGATTGATGCGCTTAGTTTTACACAAAGCCATGTCATTGATGAGGACTTCCGCGCCCATAGTAAAGCCACCATTAATTCCGTTCGCTCTTTGCAGCGTGAGCAACGCAGTCGCATTGAGCAGAATTATGGCCCTCGTGCCGTCTCCTCGGACGCCATCGCGGCGCAGCTGAGGGCCACGTACCGCGGGGAGACGACGTCACTTGAACTCATGAAGGAAGCAAACGAACGTGGTGTGCCACCGGCCTTTATGGCAAACATGTCACATAGCAAGTGCCAGGTCTTCAAGAAGGAAATGAAGCGGCGTATTCATGAGTGGGAGCGCGCGTTCCGTGAGGAACACGGAGTCGCCGTGACAGCGCATGACAAGGCGTCGTTGCATCATGTATACGAACTTTACAAAGCGGCGAAAAATCGGCTGAAGGAGACGGAGTCCCCACGGAAAACCGTCTTTGAGCCAAAAGTAGAAGATACCTCCGAGCTTCACCAACCACAATATTATGAAAAAAAACATGAACCATATCAACCGCAGCAGGCGGTGTATGAGGGCGGTGGGAATAACGGAGATGCCGGTAGGGATGAAAGGGGCGGAACGGTTGGGGTGCAGCCTTCTCAAATTAGGAGCAGCCAAATGGATAGTGCTGGTAGTAAACAGTTTACAGCACCGGCTTCCGTAACGTCTTCCATCAATGTGCCGCGGCAGAACTCCCCGGCACGGCCTATTCGTAAAGGGAAACCAGCGAGTCAGATGTCTGACGATGATCTTGCAACGGAGAAGCGGTATTTAAAATACATCCTTCATCGGTTTGAGAGTGACTTTGAGCAAAAGAATGGTCGCCCCCCGACGAAAAATGACCGACGGGTATGGACAGCGGAATACACTCGTTACGGTGAGTTGAAAAACGAGATTCTCCGTCGCTCAGCAAATGGGAATCAGGGAGAAGCTTCCAATGTAGAGGGGGGAGCCCACACCCGTGTTTCTGCGGGTCCTGTTACAATTCCCGAAAACTTTTAGTGTTTAGATCAATATTTGTACTTATATTCCCTCTTTAATTCTCTCTTTTCTTTTTTTTTTTTTTTTTTCCTATGCGTCCATGCGTTTTGATTGGGGGGGGGGGGGTCACTGTTATTGTTTCATCCCTTCCTTTTCTCATATAGCTCTGTGCGGGATTGTGACGGTGCCTCTGTATACACGTATTTGCTCGCGTGTAATTCTATGTGTATGCGTGCAGGCGCATTGTCGTTTGTTTGCTTCTTTGCGTTTCTTTTTTTTTTTTTTTTTAACCTTTTGATAGCCGCATGGTGCTGTTTCTTGTTTTTGTTTTTTTTTTTCTTCTGGCGCCTTTCCGTCGTCATTCCTCGTGAAATATTTTTGGCGATTATTGTTCTCGTTGTAACTGTCTTTCTTCTTTGTTGCTTTTGTCCCTTTCCACCTTCTATAGGGAGTGCGGAAGAAGAAAACAAAATAAACAGGGATAAACGAAGGGAGGTGAAGAGGACACGGCGTGCGGTGGTCTGTTCTCTGCATGCCGCGGTCGCACAAGATGTCACCCACAGAAGAAATGTGTGGGGCTTGCGATGGCAAAGTCTCCGAGTGGGGTGGCGTTGAAATGGAGCAAAACTGCATGTTTAGTCTTGCCGATTACGACTACCCCGACAGACATCTGTTGCGCTCCTTCTGCACCGCCCCTGCCATCCCATGGAGCGCCTTCAACCCCATTCGAGGGAATATCGCATTGCCCAACGAAATTTCTGCAAAGGGCATTACGGAAAACCTTGCAAAGCTATCCGGTAGCAACTGCAATCGGAGCAGCGGTGCCGGTGGCAACAACAACAACACGAATGCGGCGGGAGCCCAAAACAGCATCGCGGAGCCTGTGAAATCCATTGCTAAGTTTTTTGAGGAGCTCTGCCCGGAACTTTGTGGAGAGAAGAAAGACTCGATGAACCGGGGGGCCACCTATCTATTGTTGGCTGTCGTTACAGGGAGTGTGGAAATTGCACGGCGCTGTCTGGAGCTTGGGGCAGACCCAAATAATATGAGTTTTCTTAGCGACCCCGATGTCGCTGTAAATCAGATGCAGCACGGCTACAGCCCGATGTTTATCGCCGTCATCGCAGGAAGACTAGATGTCATTTCACTTTTGCGTGAATTTGGAGGCAGTATTAACGTGTATGATCGCTGGGGTCGTACCCCGTTGCATGCCGCCCTGGCGATAGGAAATGCGGAGGTGGTGGAATGGTTGTTGTCGGAAGGTGTTTCTCGTTGCATTGGAAGCTGTGTCACAATGTTGCCTGAGAACACCACGTACCCCGGACTGGCACCGCCCATTCCTGCCCTTCAGAACCGCCCCAAGCCATGCAGCAACCCTGCGGAGGCGGACTTGTGTCACTGCCGCCTGAAGGGACCAAAGGGATATTGTGGTTGTGTGGATGACATGTTCCTTCGCTGGTCGTATGATCGCCTGCAGGCAAGTTGGCTCTCCGGAATGGACCTGAGCGCACTGTCGGCAAAATATGCGTCAGGCACCCGACCTCCATCGTGTGGGCGGTAGTGAATGAGCAGAAAAGAGACAGGGGAAGAAGGAAAAAAAAAGGAAAAAGCAAAAGTTAAAAGTTGACTGCAATTTTTTTTTTTTTGGGGGGGGGGGGTCTTTGGTATGAGACCCCACACCCCATCGATATATTTCTTTCTTTTTGACCTTTTACCGTTTGGGCATGCGTTAATGACGCGATGCGCATTAAAAAAAAAAAAAACATTTGTCTCCAATGGTTTCCTCCACAGTAGTCATACTCTTTTTACTTGTTTTTGTTTCTACCTCTGTTTTAATCCTTCATTGGTGTTTTTTTGTTTACGTGGCGCAGGGGAATATTGAGGTCATAAGGGCAAAACAAACAAACAAGCCGACAGACAGAGAGGCAAAGAAAAGGAGAAGGAAAAATATAGAGAGACGTGAGCTGACAGTTGAGGAAAAGGGAAATAAAAATAAAAAATAAGTCAAGAAAAGGAAAAAAAAAAGGAAACGAAGAGAAGGCGCTCAGAAAGGAAAAGGAGAAAGTAGGGCAGCAACAACAACAAAAAAAAACAACTAAAACTAGAACATAAAAGGGTTACTTTATATTTATATTTGTATTTATATTTACATTGTTATTATATCTATTTTTCAATGCCTTCATACGTGACAACTGAGACCCTTATTGATGTTAAGGGGGAAGTGGAGCAAATCACGGCCAAGACCGACATTTGGATGGGCTCCCCCTCGGAGACATGCAACAAAGAGAGCACCACAACACCCCCTCTTTCACCGCAAGAGACGGATGATGCACGTCAAGAGGAGGAAGAGGTTGCGAAGACCTGTCAGCAAGCTGAACAACCGCTACAAGAGCCGAGGAAGAATGGTGAGGAAATGGAGTCCTGTTCTTTACTGTTCAAAATTGGGGTGTACATGTCGTTTGGCATGTTGACCTTATTTTCTTTATTTTATGAATTCTATTACAGGCTTTTTCAGAAGGAAAAGGAGCGGGATGGATATGCGCCATTGTTGAAGGGTTTTGACCGATATTGGCAGAAATATTTTTATCAACGTATCCGTGACTGCTTTAATTATCCGATTGATTCCCGCCCATCACGTGTCATTGGCGTCATGGAGCGTGTTTCTTACGATTACAATGAAAACTTCTCCTTAACTGGGAATATTTTACCTTGTGTAAATCTTTCTTCTTACAACTATCTTGGCTTTGCGTCTGATATTCCGAGTATTACGCGCCAAGTGCTTGACAGTATTGACCGGTATGGAATTGCATCATGCAGTCCCCCGCAGCTGGCAGGGCAACACCAACCCGTTGTGCAGCTCGAACGCGCCATTGCTGATTTTTTGAGCAAGGATGATGCTATTGTCTGTGGCATGGGGTTCGGTACAAACTTTCGTGGGCTTCCCGCCCTCTTTGGGAGGGAATCGTTGGTCATCTCAGACAGCCTCAACCACTCATCGCTGGTGAACGGCATACGCATGTCCGGCGCACGCACAAAGGTATTTAAGCATGACGACTTCCAGCAATTGGAAACAATTCTGCGAGAGGCGGTGGTTCTTGGGCAAAACCCCCGCGGGGAGTATTTGCCGTGGACTCGGATCATTATCATCATTGAGGGTATTTATAGTATGGAGGGCGAAATTGCCAATTTGCCGCGGGTTGTGGCACTCAAGAAGAAGTACGGAGCCCTGCTGTTTGTAGATGAGGCCCACTCCATTGGTGCGATTGGGCGTACGGGTCGTGGCGTAACGGAACACTGCGGCGTTGATCCGAAGGATGTGGATATTCTCATGGGTACCTTCACAAAGAGCTTTGGCGCCATTGGTGGTTATATAGCTGGGGAACAGAGGGTAATTGATTACCTGCGTATACACAGCTCCATCTCTCTTCACTGCGACACGATTGCCCCTCCTTGT